GATACCACATGATCATAGAGCACCGTACCCGTGACAAGCACCAGAATGCTGATAGCCTCAGTAAAAAGACAGAATTCTATGAGCGCCTAGAAGAGAAACAGGCCAATAAAGCAGAAATCAAAGACGGATTTTCATTTCTAGATAAGGAGACCTTCGATAAACTACCACTCACCAGGTGGCTGGACAAGTCAGGGCACACCATACCAGGACACCCTGAACTTCCCGTGGAGACGGCCGCTGAAAGAAAGGTATTAGCCAGGGACGATCCTGTCCCGCTGGATCTGCTTGTCCGATCCAATCTGGTGCAGCGAGAGCTTACCAGGACGGGTATAAACAGCATAGCCCTGCTAAATAGGACAGTGAACGTGGCGCCGGACGTCATGGGAAAGCTCCGTGACTTACTGAATAGAGAAGTGGATAGGCATGATTGTGAGTGGTTGGAAGCCATCCAACGGTTGACCGTCACTGAGAGAACAGAGAAGAGGCAAGTGACCATTCGCAGTCGAGATGTTGAACGGGATTGCCGGTCGATAGTGAACCAGTTGGTGAAGTCAATGCCGAATGATGTCTTGTTGAAGACTTCGTTCACAGAACATGGGACATAGACCCAGGTCCAAACCACTAAAGATGTTAGGGTCAAGTCGAATTCCAGCTTCACGAGAAAAGTACAATTTACGGATGTCCGGGGAGTCAGGCACTTTCGAGCCCGTACAGGACAACTTTCCGGGGAGACAATGTTGGGACAACCAAAGGACAGAATGTTGTCCGGGGAGCCGGATTCAAAGCGACCAAGGGACAGAGTTTTGTCCGGGGAGTCGAGGAACATCACTGTCAGATTGGAATATAATGATGTGGGATCCATCGGCTCGAGTGACGACTTGGAGCCCCAGTCCTGGGAGAATACATCTGAGACCACTTCCATTTCTGATGTTCCGGAGATTGCTATTCATTCCTTGCTCGTGGAATGGAAACAGCGCGGGCTGGACCGGGAAATACATCAGGACCCGGACAGAGACAGATATATCTCCGGTGAGGTGGACTGTAGTGGATAATGCCGCAGATGAGCTTGAACTGATAGCAGTGTCGAAACAGGCAACCAGATTACTACCACATGGTACGGTCGTCCGTACCAACCTGGAGCCATCTGTGCAAGAAGCAACACCTTTGAAGAAGATATGGTGCGTCAAGTTGCTGGATGATGCCCATGCCCCGGAGGTAATAAGCGGCCAATTAAACGTGGTAAAGACATACCTAAAAGCCAGATACCGGCTTTCGGATCTTTTAAGAGCTCAACGAAATGACAGAATGACGAGCAATCTGAAAAGATGGATCGAGAATGGGGCACCTGACAAAGGAGATTTAGAGGAAGACAGCTATAAGGTCTTGAAGCAATTTTACATGAAGACAAAAGATTTGTTGTACCTGAACAAAGACGGAATCGTAGCCTGTAAACGCAAGGAAGAGGACAATGTCCTTTACAAGTATAATTCAATAGTGTTGCCACAGTTTTACCAGACCGAATTGCTCTTTCGATCACATGATCAGAGGGGCCATCATGGCGTGGACAAAGTGTACAACAGGATACAGAAACGATTCGAATGGCCTGGTTTGAAGAAGGCGTGTAAAAAGTAGATCTCTGAATGCTTTTCGTGTCAACAGGCGAAGAATCCCAGGAAACTAAGGTTCCCACTGCAGTCAATAGAGTCATCGGGATTCAACGAAGTAGTGCAAATTGATCATCAGAAGATATACATGACTGCCACGAGCTACAATCAGGTGCTGGTAATGATCGATAGTTTCACGATATATGCAGAGGCAGCCCCCTGCATGACAGCATCAGCGGAAGAAACGTGCGATCACTCGATAAATGTGTGGATAGCGAGGCACGGCTGCCCCATCACATTCCAATCGGAATATGGCAGAACATTCGTGGGCGATCTCAAGAAGGAGTTGATGAAAAGGTCGCAGGTGGCACGGGCCCACTCGACCACTTATCACCCACAAGCAAATGGCCTAGTTGAAAAGCAAAATCGCACGCTGGTATCCATGTTGAAAGTTTATTGCGCACGCTACATGGATGACTGGGATAGACACTTGCCGCAAGTGATGGGCGCTTACAACAGCACAGAGCATTCAACCACGGGAATAAATCCGAATATGATACTAACTGGTCACGAAAAAGCTCTTGCGCTAACGTTCTGCTACCCTGAGTATGAAGGGAAGAAAACAGCACCACAAACGTACGTGCGTGATGTTATTAGAAGGCAGCAGGACCTCAATGACTTATGCAGGAGGAACACGCAACAGGCGCAAATTAGACAAAAAAGGAGATTTGATAAAAGGACTGCAGATGCAAAAGCCCACTCAGTCGGCGATTATGTCTGGATGTTCCAGGAAGTAGTTCCACCAAAAAAAACCAAAAAATTTTTAAAAAAATGGCGCAGCCCATCTCAAGAAACAGAAGTGCACCAAGGAGGTCGTTTTTATCAATTGAGCACCGGAAGAGCAGCTGATTACGAAAACATCAAACTGCACGATGCCTCATCAGAGGACTGGTGCATCCCAGCGGACATGCAGGAGGGAGACTATTTGAAAGTGGATCCTGCTTGTGAAGAGAATTAAAGAGGTACGCGCGACAAAAACGACGGGAATGAAGTGGTAGATAATTGCGATCTGCCACTGGAGCTGGAGTTGACCGAGCGAGTGGAGGTGGACGACGAAACTCTACCTTATGTCAAAGAGGACTGGGATTGCCCAGAACAAACTGAAATTGACAAAGGAGTACAGCCTGACTTTCCCTTCACCATGGAAACACGCCAGAGCAAGAAAGGAAGGAACAAGAAGAAGTACAACCCGTATGGCGAGGATTTCGTCAGAGACCGGATATTTTAAGCAATATGATGGAATCACTGGTGAGCTGGATAAATTAGCGAGCCAAAGAGATCGGCTTGGTCAATGACATGGATCAGGATTGGATCGACGATCGCTCCGAACCAGAAGTCGAGTTCGAACCAGAGGTGGAGCAGACTCATGAGCAAGAATTAACGAACTTGCGAGTGCTCGAATGGCTCCATGATGTACTTGACAATTCAGGATGTCGATAAAGACGGCATCAAATATGTCAGCCATGACAATACCGAGTCCAACTGGGTCGCTCCAGATGGCCCTCTATGCGTTCCGCGACCAACCTCGATCTGCTCGACTTTGGGCGATCGACGGGGACTTCAATGGATATTTTTGCCCGGCGAGTGGGGCAAGGACTCGCCCACACCAAAAAATTAAAATCGGCAAGGGAAACCGGAGAGCTGGAAACGGAAGGCGAGAACGCTAAAAAACCACTTATCGTTAAAAAATTAAAATCGGCAAGGCAAACCGGAGAGCTGGAAACGGAAGGCGAGAACGCTAAAAAAAAACACTTTTTGGACAAATTTTTGCATCTTATTTTGACTTACCGAAACATTTTTCAAAAAATATCGTCATAAGGGACAGCGATTTCATACTCACGGAACGTACATGCGCTATAGCGATAACCGCGGTTGTAAGCTTCAAAACAGCACTAGCGGCTGACTTTAAAAGAGAATATAAGAATATCGAGTTTTTATGGAAACAGAGGTCTGGTGTGGGAGGGATGATAGCGCTGCCCCCTGTTGCATCACAGATACCAGGGAAATATTTGTGTTTCCTGGTTACGAAGGCCACTGATAAGCAACACGTAAATCCAGAGAGCTTGGTATTGGCCATGACTCGACTTAGGGATTTTCTGGTTGAGAGAGGAGTGACCTCTCTCTAGTTACCAGTCTATGATCCCAATAGGGGAAAGCTACATCCGAGAGAGTTATATGCCCTTGTAAGCGTGATATTTTCGGAAACTGACATAGAGGTTTACTTACATAAAAAGTACTATCTGAGCGTATGCTAGGAGTTACGTTTGGCGATAAGTGGTTTATATTAAGTTTATTTTATAGGCATTAGGATTAAGTTTTAGGCTAGCTACTAGGGATTATGTTTTTATGTAATAGTGTGAATATGTGATGCTTATGTGTTATGTTATCGTTAGGTTATGATTTATGTAATGTTTGTATCATAAGAGACATGGAACACTCCAGGTAGTGAAGGTGACGGCGCTCATTTGTGTTACCGTTACCTTGATAAGGTTGCAGGTGGACGATCCACCTTGGTGCTAGTTTTTAAATCAAGAAGAAAAGAGAATTTCAATGGATCGTTTTTAAAGGATGTGAATGATCTTTTATCCTGGAAATGGGACGGCATAAAATGATGTTTTTAAGTCGTGACTTGCTTTTTAGATCTTGATTGATCCAATGAAATTAACAAATCTAAAGGACACGACGACAAAAGATACACGATAGAAAGATGGGTGACACCAATGATTAGATGGAATTTCCCTCAGCGAGTCTAGGAGTGACTCTAGACGAGATATATCAGCAGCTGATTGAGTGTGACTTTGCACAAGAAGACCCGGGACTGGCGATGTTTGTGGTCGCGCTCCTCAAGGCGTTAGGACGAGAGGGTCAAGTGAATTGCCCCACGGAAATAGTGTTGATGCTGGCCTTCGGTGAGTCCGGAAGCGCCGAGAGAGGTCGAAACCGACTGATGAGATGGCGGCGAGGAGAAATGTCTGGCCACGACTTGGCTCGTGAGCCTGGACTAGGCGAGCAGAGGGATCACCGGCTAGGTGAGATGCCCCTACCTGTTCAACTTGTGCAGCCGCTCATCGGAGCGAAAAGAGTTCGTGATGTGCCGGGCCTGTCACACTCAGTAGATTCTCCAACAGCTGCTCCTCCGCTGAAGAGAGTTAGGATGAACGAGATAGAGATCCCGACCTCGGAGACGATTGAGACGTTGGAGAAGAAGGATAAGGATCAAAGCGAGCTGTGCGCCAAGCTGGAGGAGTACAGGGCAATAGCTCGAGAAAAAGACGAATGGAAAAAGAAGAAGTTCGAAGATCTGCAAATGGCCTAAAACACCTGAAGAAGCTATATATGGCAAGGGTGAGCCAAGTGTCACCGGAGGTTCTGGTGGCGATGAACTCCTCGGAGGGATCCAGAGACACACGTCCCAGGACGAAGGCACAGGAGCTGTGCGCACCGAGAGAGCCCGAGGCTCCTCAGCGGACATCACAGTCTGCTCCGAACCAGAGAAATACGATACCGGATCCGCCAGACACCTATCTTGCTCCGCAGTTTCAAGAGTCATTCAATCAGGTGGCCACAGCAGCGATGAATGAGATCAACAGGACCACTGGCCGGACGCTGGGTAGGGTCGTCCCTTCCCAACGCCTTGATCATTCCTCAAGTTGCTCGGAGCGAATACCTCGAGCCATAGTACCAACGGGTCCCTCGGTTGATCGGAATCAGACTAGCTCCCAAACCGTGTCTAGGACGAGTAACCCGCCCACCACGACAACTCCTGCTTCTACAGCAAACCCATCGACGAGCACCACGCCGGCGTAAGGATTTGAGCCAATCAGCGTGCTGCTTTGGAACCGGCCAGACCCCAGCAGTTGGGGGCAATATAAAACGGAAATGTCAACGAAATTGAACATGAGCACATTGACGTGTCGAGTGGATGCAAGAAGGATGATGGGTGGAGATGGTCCCACAGTACTTCATCTCCGCGACTACGCTCAGGTTCGTGGACCTCGATGGATTGCCTCGATGGATTGCCATGACCGAGGTGGAGGCATCAGTGCAGCGAAACTTCACCAAGAATGTGGTGAGATCATCCTCGTGTTATCACCGGGGTACGCCGCATTGCCTGAACCCCTAACCTTTGGGCCCTTGAATACCCGATCTCTTACGAACGTCCGTCGGAGAGCCAGAGAATTGACACCACCTTCTCAGAAGGTCAAGTTTCTGGCAGAGAAGAAGCCCAACAACAAGGACCACAAGCTGTATAGGCAGTTCTCCAAACCACCCGGCCAGGCACCTGGTAAGTACTCGAGAGATTATCTCCGAGCGACCTCGGTGGAGGGGGAAGACAGGAGATACGCGGGACTGAAGGTACCAGTGGGTGACAGCCTGTTTGCTGCCTATGATCCTTCGGATATAAAGGCTGCCAAATATTTGATAGTAGCCACTTCGGACTATCTCTACACGCACCGTTCTTTCTTTTGGCCGGATGTGATTTTCCTGACAGCGCCTAATTTAGACCGCGGGCAATCAGCAGGTATGACAATAAGCGTGCGGAGGGCGATCAGCATGGACCCACAGGTGATAGTAATTGCCGGCTCGAATGACTACTTGCAGAGTACAGGGTTGTTGTCCCGTCTGACGGATGGATCAATCTCGAGCAACGAAATCATAGGAGAGGCTATAATGACCGAGGTGGAGGCATCAGTGCAGCGAAATTTCACCAAGAATGTGGTGAGATCATCCTCGTGTTATCACCGGGGTAGGCCGCATTGCCTGAACCCCTACAGTTTGTGTACACGATGGTCACAACTCTGCGGCAGGGACGATTCAGCGTGATAATACCTGCGCCGAACAGGATGGTGGAACCTAACAACTACTACCCACCCCGTTCTGAGCTCCCTGCCATCTGGTCTGACATTTCCAATGCCATCCAGAGATTCAAGGATTGCAGCACAACTCGCCAGGCTACTGAAGTTAAGGCCAGGGGTAGATGATGATCACTTGTTAGTACAACAAGTGGCCAATGACCTCTGGTTCAGACAGATGGATTATGCGAGAAATGAACAGGGGAGGACGGTTAGAAGGAATATGACATCGGCAGAGGAGGAAATCATGGCGTTGGCCTTGAGGACGAAGCCACATACCAATGCATGGTTGTGTTTATTGCCGAGAGAGTGTACTTTTGGAGAAGACGTGTTCGAGCAAGCAACGGCAGTAGTCACAGAGATACACGCTTATCTGAAAAACGTGTTCGACGAGAATAAGTTAGCCGGGGGCATGTTGTTACAATTGATGCAAGACGTGAACACGATGTCGTTGGATAAGTTACAAGCTGACATTTTGGCCACGAGGGCACAATATGAGAGATCAGACGCTATCTTGGGTGGAATGGTAGTGGGATGGACGCCATCCTTCCTGTCAACGTGTTACCCGAAGGCCTCCCGGAAACTGATCGCGAGCTTTGTCAAGGACATCCGGAAACTGTCCATCGGTCTGGTATTAGCACTGTACGTGACGTTTGGTCACGAGAACTTCGTGAAGGGACCTGCGAATCTCTTCACCCAACCGTTAGCGGAATGAGATTGGATGGACTCCTTACCCTGATCGCCATGACATATGGTCGGCTGGGCGATTTGTTCGTGCTATTACGCTACCCCGAACAACTGCAGGGTGCGAGTCGAGAATTCAACGCGCATTTGGAAACCGCCTCATACAGGAAGATGAAGGATTGGAGGATACTCTTGCTCCAATACCTCCTGCAGCAGAATAGGAGTAACACAGGAGAGGACAAGGTGGCGACGGGAGCGAGTGAATGCAAACAGTATTGTGGCATGCCCTTACTGACAGATCTTGCTGTAATGATGCGGATCGATCCGCTGGCTCTGGTCCATGGACTGAGGGAATTCGTCACGGTGGTGTACGGACCCCTGATGTCATTTGCGTTCCCGGACGTGCGAGTGAAGGCATACAGGAATTCGGTGTTGTATGTCAACTTAGTCTCGGTTGTGGATTGTTCCGTGCTGAATTGGGTGGAACTGAAGGAGCTGAGAGGGTTGGCAAGTGACGACAGGCTATTCGGAAAGATAGCGGAGCCAGGATGGATGTTGATGGACTTCAACAACAACTTCAAGTGCCGAATGCGCAGCGAGAACCTTTCCCATGTCCAGTTTAATCCGAAGCTTTGGAATCTGCGACCAGTGGTGAAGGATTCAGGAGAGGCGATGCGGGTCCCACTTTGGCCGGAAGCATATGCACACGTCAAAGATAATTACCAAGCATGGCTTTCCGGTCCAGGCCGCTGCCGGACCAATGTCCCCGATATCCACCGATAAGGAGGATGTTGTTGGGGGTCACGTCTACTGTCCTTGCCCCTCGCATCGGAGCGGCTCGTGATGCGGAGGAGAAAATGCGGAAGTGGAGTGAAGGAATGGAACGTCGCGGCCATGCATACTTTCGATTTCACGTTTCCTGATGCATGGAGCCGGAAGAAGATCAAGGCACCACCTTCCAGGATGCCAGGAGTGTCCGTTGAAGTGTGGAATGACGTGTACACACCAGCAGATGATTGGTCACGTTTGAAGTGGCCAGGAGAAATGAAAGTAATGCTATTGGAAGTGGCAAAGGAGTACAGAGGAGGCATGTACATGACGATAGACGAGCTGGCGCCATATGGCGACGATTCGGTAGAATTCCTGGTGAATGATGAGTTATTCTATCACGCAGGGGATCTGACAGTACCGGCGCGGCCGGAATTGGGCACGATATGCGGCAAGGCCCTTCGGGACCTGGGCCGAGAGCAGACACGAACGATGACGAACAGACTGATCAGGACGACGATCACATGGAGGAAAAGGGAGAGAATTCGAATGGATTGGACCTAGGAGTATTGGAGAGAGACTTGCTGGAATACCAGTTCAGTGAAGACGACGACGGGGAAGTCGATGGAAATCTGTTGCTGATGACACCATCGTCTTTCATGTCCCCTACGAGGGAGGCGCCGGCCAGCTTATCCCCAGTGGATCCAATAGGCCTGGCAATGGCTTACCGGAGTGGGGACATACAGAAACTGCTCCATGAATCACCAAGAAGGAGAAGAAATGACGAGACGATGAGAGTATCTTCCCTGAGCACATTACCTGAAGAGGAGTGGGAGAGATGTCAGAGTGAACTTGAACGTACGGCAAAAGTGACGTGGAATCGAGTAACCTTCATGGAAAGGACATGGGACGTGATACGCAGATACGGGACGCAGTCCGTAATGAAGGTGGGGTTAAACCAGCGAGGTTCTAGAGAAACTAATGAGCTCCGTAGAGTCTGATGTTCTAACCGAGTCAGTCACAGAGGACAGTGCCGATGATCAGCAGATCACGAGAAAATTATCTGTCAGGCGAGCCAGGAAAGGGCTGAAGCGGTTGAAAGGGAAGACAGGAAGCAAGATCATGAATCCAAAAGTGGTGAAATCGAAAGCCAGTGCAGTGGTGGCCTCGTTGACAAGAGCAGCTCGGCAAGTGAGAGTGGACAAAGAGATGGTGCGACGCTGGACGGGTGAGAAAAAGAGAACCTGATACCCCCGATGCCATTGGCAGGTTTGACCACAACGGCAACGAGATCAAAGAAAAGTGCACGGACTTTGGCGGATACTAAGATAGAAATGGAAGTCATCAGTCAGTGTGGATCTGGAGGAATTTATGATTACAAGCCCTCGCGAACCAACATGGCCCGGATGAAGGTGGAGGGACAACTCGACGTGGTCGAGTATAGTCGGATCACAGTGCCAGACTCATTCCACATGGGAGATCCAGCAGGGGGTTATGTAGAGATGCTTAAGTCAAGGAATTCCCCGAGAGGGCACCAGGGATGCATACTTTGACTATGAGCAAATTGTGGTACCTGATTTCTGGGTGGAGCGAGTTAAGGAAACAGGCATGTTGATGATGGAACACCCCAAGCTGGGAATCATTTTGGAGGAACGAGTGGTCGAATTTTCGGTTCCCGAGCTAAAGGGGCAAGTGAGCTTTGAATGTGGTTTTTGGGACGGTCCCTTGAAGACAAGCTTAGTTACCATGTGGGAGCTCATGAAGCCTTCTTGGTGTCCACATCCAAACGCAGGTTTAACCTGGGACATGACAGCCGATGTCACATTGGACTTGGATGATGACGCGAGTCTACACTATTTGGCCACGATACACCATCTGCTGGCCCTGAAGATAACGATACAAAAGAGCAACCTATCCACAGAAACTTTCGAGGGAAATCCCTCCGGTGATTGGTTGAGACAGGGCACCTGTCTAGCCCACAGTAGTGGAATGGACGGACACGTGTGCGACTCAGGGCCGTGCCTGAATACGCCAAGTGAGCAGCATTGCCAGCTGGCTCAATTGTATGGGAGATTGAGCATGTCGGACAAGAGTGGAATGGAGTTGATTGCGGACTGTTATGGAGTAATGGAAGTGAACTTGATCACTGCCTTGGGATTTTGCAGCATGACGAGCTCTATAGAATCACTGGATTGCCTAGAGCGTGCCCATGGAAGTGTTCCCTGGAGCGCTGCAGACTGAGCAAAAAATTGGAGGTTGGCGAGAGGCTCTGGAGAACGAGATGAAATTGAAGGACAGTGAGGCCTACTGGTTCGAGATATCTGGTGGGTTCGAGCTCTGCACCATGTTGCAATAGTAGGTACCCTACGCACATGGTGGTGATGGACGCTAGGACGAAGCAGGTGTTGGTCGACCAACTCTTCTCTATGCCAAAGTGTGTGAGGCTGGCCAGGATGTCTGACAGGTCATTTGATTTGCTGATGGATATTTTTGTCCGGCGAT